GGCCTAGACATATTCTGAAATTCTTGTGCCCCAAAACATAAATACAGCATGCATCAGAACACCATGCAAAGGCTTCAGTCCATAAATTCCCATATTAAGTTGCACTGCTTATTACCAGGGAAAGCATCAAACATCACTGTTTGTTAATACAGGCACTTCAAATAGTGCAGATAAATGCTAAAGGCAAAAAGAGGTGATATTAATAGGCTGGTGAAAACAAATAAAATTCAGCAATTTTTATTATGTCTGTATAACTGAGTGTCAAAAAATTAGTCAGAGCAAGAAGACCCCTTGAGCTGGCAGAACAAATATAAAAACCAAAACCAAAGAACTTTTCATATTTTCATTAAAAAGAAAAACCCAAAACAACTACATATCTAATATTCAGGTTTGATATTTTTGCTGGACATTTTATACAAAATTAAACTAGTTTTAAAATTTAATCTGATACCTAAAAACCTCAACCCTAAAAGTGCTCACTAAATTGTTGCTCATTATGTTAGTTAATTAGGAGTTTTCTTTCCAAACAGTATGAAAATTAGAAATTAAATTTGCTTTATCAGGAATTTCTGAAGAGGCTGATCCTCTTGTTGAAACAGAAGTAGAGAGAGAGCAGTACAAATAGAATTTCAGAGGTTGATTTCCATCAATTATATTTATGAGTAATGTATAATATATATATATTTTAAAGCTGGTGGCACCACATTTTGAACTAAAGTTTTTCTAGTCCTTTTACATAGAGGAGTATTGTGTACTGAGTAAGACATAAAGGAAATTAGATGCAGAAGAGAAAAAACTGCTTAAATTAACAAAATTGCTGAAAACCCGTTTAGGTTTCAAAGCTGTTAAGTAGTCCTGTTAAAAATTGGCTGTCAAGTTTAGGAATTTGGGTAGAGAAATGACAACTATGCTTTTTGTGGGCAGAATTCAGTTGAGAGCACTCTTCACCATTTGGGTCTTGCACCTGTTTTGATTAGAACCCATATCTTGGCCAAGGTTCAGCCTCCTACAGACACCCTCCTTAACCAGACAGACCTAACAGCTTTTGTTACCTGTAAGCTCATTTCCTCTGGAGATCTGTGATGACTCAGGTATACTTTCAATTCCAATCCATTTTTTTTTCCTTCCACCCACAAGCTGCAAAAATGTGAAGCAGACAAGATAAAATTTAATAAGAGACCAAGTTATAAATTTTTTACATTTAACTTAATTTCTTTATTATTTCCTTTGTACTTTAATTTGGAACAGATAGTCTGCATCATGCAGTCTGTGCATGTGATTGCATCTGCTTTGTGGTTTAGTTCAGGTTTGTGCCTGCACAAAAACAAATAATAAAGGAAACACAACATAAACACAAACCCAACTCACTCCAGTGACTGTATTAGTTTTGAATCAGAAAACAACTGGAAAGCCACAGCTCCTTAGCAGCACAGTTTATAGAATTTATACCCATAAAGAAGTCAAAAGTGGGCAAAACATTGACTGCACATTGATGGGATACTGGTGTTAGAAACCCGTTGGTTACCTTTTCCCTTCAGAGCAGCTGATGGAGGTTTGGAGGCAGCTTCCATTTTCACCCCTACTGTGTTCTTCCCAATAGCAGTCATCTGCTGGAAATATCCCATCAGGTATCTCTCAGCAGCAAGACTAGCTTTTGAGGACACCTGGGATTGACCAGAATGCTTTTTGAATTCTCAGGTTTAATGAGAATTAAACCTGAGCTGACTATGTTTGAAGAGTTTTTTCTCTATTGAGAAGAATATTGATGAAGAAATGAGAAAAGAAGCTTTGAAGGAAAACATGTTCAGTAAAACCTGTCAAATAACATTAATGCAGTAAGGTTTCCTGTATTACATTACTTTTATTTAATATTCTTATATAACTACAAAAGTAAATCCCCTGAAAATTGTATTCCCACTGACAGCTTCCCTGCTATTTTATGGTGCATCCTCTATAGTTAATGGTCTATCACAGCTTCCACTGTAAGTTCCGATTTGTCAAGGCTTTATTGTAGCAACAAAATTGTTAGAAAGGAATTTCATTCTGTGAGAGACTAAAAAATGAATTTTAGTTTAAATTGATTTAGCCATCTCTAAATTAGCATAAAGAGGGCTTGGGTATTTTTTTCATTTTTCAGGTTTTATCTATCTTTTTCTTTAATAGGCCAATTTCTTTTCTATTGCCAACTGGAATAGTTGCTCTGAAGTTGGAAAAAAAAAACATCTAGAAGTTTGGGTTTTGGCTAGAATGTCTGTCTCCAAAATCAAACAAGAATCTATTTCACTGCTTTCAATGCACTGCAGATCTGAGTCTACAGATATGTACTTGGACAATTTTTCAAAATACATCCAACAGTGGGAGAAATTTATAATATGTGAAGGAGATGTACAGATGCTATGCATGGTAAAGTTCCTTGACCAGTTCCTGAATTACTGATTTTGTGTGATATTTGCATTATTATTTACTCTTTAGTTTACATCTGCAGCACCTAAAAGCTGTTAAAATCTTTATCAAATCTAAGACTTCTTAAGAAAGACTTTTTCAAATCTATAATTTATGAAATTGGTTATTTTCCTACCTGCACAGACTAAAAATACAATAGAAACACCAGATATTGTTCTGAATTCTTCATTCTTGTACCACAGAAGACAGAGTAGACATAGAACTCTCTCCTGGGCACCCAGATTCAATGTCAGGCTCTAACTTACTTGATACAACTGGAAGTAGTGCTGAGGGAAAATTGTAACACATCATTTCCTAAAATGACACCCATAAGAAAGTAATTTTATGCATAAACAATGCAAAAAAAATGGAATGTGTGACAATATGACTCCTACATAGAGTCAGTATTTATCTGTTCTTCTGGACAGAGAAAGACCATCTGACCAATGCTGTAGTAAGACAAATGCAATTTTTTTCAAAAAACAGATTAGAATATGCCTGACCTGCTTTTTTTGACATGTTATTGCATATATAAACCCGTAATTTAGAAACAAAACAGACATTGAATATATGTTATATATAAATTATTTCCATGTTTCAAAAAGGCAAGAATTTTTTCTACATTAAGGTTAAATAATTGATTTTTCCATGTACAAGACTTGTGCTATATTTTTAAAGAACATCAAATGGATAGGCAGATTCAATGTTCATATTCAGTGCTAGAAATTAAAATAATGGTTTAGTTAAATTGTTCACCAATGTGGAAATATGAGTCTTTGAAATTCATAACTTGCTCGGCTCTTTCTTTACTAACAGAGGAATCTGATGGAGGTCCATTTTCCTTTGAAATCCACCTTCAAATTGTGTGGCACTCTAATAAATAGGGTTCTACAGGATGCAATGACCATTAGCAACTCCTTTTTGCACGTGACTCTGTCCCCCAGGCTGATGGAACTTCTGACAGTGAACTTCTGAATGGTGGAAGGAAAAATATTAGTTGAGCCTGTTCTGTGAACACATTTCAAAGAAGTGAAATTTTTTTTGGTGCTTACCCCAGTTTGTCTTTAACATCAGTGTCAGTCTTATGAAAATGTTCAGCACTGTTTTACAAGCGTATTACAAGAATCCTTTATCTAATAATGTAGAGCAAAATGTCAGAAAAAAATAAAAGCAACCAAAAACACCCCAGTAAGTGAAAATTTACATATACATTTGTCTATGTATAGAATGTAGACAGTTTTCTAAAATATGTATGAACTGTAATTACATTTTATTTGATAGCAATATTTAATTTCCAAGTGGCATTATTAAACTTTATTGCATATTATAATCTAGAGCATTTCTTATGGTCTAACACTGCTGGAATTTTAGTTTGAAAGTTTGCTTTTTTGATGCAGAAAATGTGTAGTAACCGACAGTTGCAATGAAACTAAGCTACCCAAAATGTTTTCTGACCAGATTCTCTTGAAGTAGCCTTCTTCATTACTATTAGGTTTTTGCCTGTCCTTCCCCTCCTTTTAGGGCAACAGTATGAGGAAAGCAATTACCTGGCTGTGAAACATATTTCTTGAACAGCAGGATCTGGCTCAGTGGCTTGCTCTTTATATCTACAGAACTATTCTACAAATGACAACAAGAAGGGAAAATAGTGACCCTTTAGCATCTGCCTTAGCTAGTTAAACTGTTGATTTTTTTGCCCAAAGGCTGTTTTTTAGTTTATGATTTACATTAATTTCTTCTCTCCTGTGACCATTTGATATCAAATCCCCAGTCTATATATTAGTTAAATGCCTGACTATATATTAGTTAAATGTCTGTGTGTGTATATATGCTTGCAACAGAGAGAAAAAAAAATCACTTTCAAAAGCACAAATAAATATTAAAGTGTCTTTATTTAAAGATGTACTTTTTACTTTAAGTTCAGACAAAGATGTGAGGGCTTTATTTGTTGACAAGAAAACAGATAATTAATTTTCTTCTTCAGCTAAATCCAAAAAACATGTCTTCTTCTGCTGATGGGTTGATAAACAGGGATTTTCTGATGGTAAGTTCAGAGAGGAAAATGTGTGCTCTTTGTTTTGTTTTCATTTGTTTACTTTTTTCTAGAATAAAAATGCAAAAGCCACCTTTTCACCACAAGTTTTCAACCCTTGCAGGAAAAAATATATTCTTTTTTCCTACTTTTAATGTGCAGAGATTGATGAAGGATTAATTCTCTGCAAAGTTCAGGTGAAGGGTACATGCCTGATTATAAAAGCACAGTTAACCACCCTGCAGGAGATTGTATCTAAAGCATTTATAGTTTTCCTACCTGTGTAGAGGAATTCCTGGATAAAAGTCTGTGTAGTGCAAGTAAAAATACACTTTTGTTTGTAAAATAATTTTATTTCCAAACCAGTTCCAGAATGAACCTTAAAAATAGTGGGTTTCTAATCAAACACACTACAGGATAGAGAAGTTTAAAAAGCTGTTTATGTGTTCAATACGTGAATATTTTTAGGAGGCTTTGGAAACCAACCTTATTATTTTGTTCCATTTTCATTCATGGTATGCTATAAAATAGTTTATTAATGAAATATTTTGTTCAATATTTTACAATTATGTATTTTTAATAGACTAACCCAAAGGACATGTATGTGGGTGAAAAGGGAGTTGCTTTTCACTGCCCATGATCTTCTGCCCGGCCCCTAGCCTGGATGTAACTACAGTGGCCTGAGGGAAAGTTTATATTCATTGGAAATGTGACTTTTCCCAACAATATGAGATGATCTAATGGAAGGTATTGATTCTGCCTGAAAGGCTCACATTCATGTCATCACCACCATTTACATCAGATGTTCTCTTATTCATTTTTAATGGATTCTCACTTTGGAGCACAGATCCTCTTTGTTATTTACAGTTAGCACCTGCCAGAGCAGAGCTGTGCACAGTCACCTGCTTGGCTCACAGTTCCCAGCAAGCATGACTGCATTGGCCCCTTCTCCCTGCTTTTATCTAGGGGAAAAACTGATGTGT